TCTCGGATTGGAACACCGCAGCCACCACGAACCCCAGTTAGATCTCGTACAATGCGATATGAGGTTCAGGTATTGTTCCAATCGGCTGCTTCTTGGGCTATAATGCCTTTAGCTTCGATCCATTCACGCTTGTCACGCCGGCAGCTGCGTTTGACCTGTCGGGCAAGGTCTTGGTAGGTGGCCATGGCCCTCTCACGCTGGTCTGCAGAAGCATGTGGGTCAGAGGCCACCTGGTCCCGAACTGACTTTGCCAAGCGACGTTGATCTATAAGTTCCAATGAACGGTCGGAGATCCAGTGCTCCTTAAAGCCGCCCCGTCGGCGACCAATCTTTGATTCTGCTGCACCGACCACAGCCTCTTTTAGCTCATCCCAGAGTGCATCTGGATTTTCGTTGTTATTTCCTTCCGCAGCAAGGACCTGGAAGCGGTTTCTCAATTCGAGTTGAAATTCCGCTGCCGTATTTGCATCTTTTAAGCGTTGAACGTTAAAAGGACTTGTCCGCTGCAGTCGTGGTTGGAGGCGCTTCAGGTGAAGTTTACATTTGGCAATTAGCAGGTAGTGATCAGAGTCAATGTCGGCTCCACGCCACACTCTAACATCGCTAATGGTGGATGCCCAGCGGGATGATATGCAGATGTAGTCGATCTCGTTTGTATATCCGCCTTCCACGTCGCCTTGTGTATCCGCTTGTGGCCGAAGAAGGTGTTCTTGATGGTCAGCCGGTTTGCCGCACAGAACGAGATCAGCCACCCACCATTTTCATTTGTCATTGCTGCGATTCCAAACGGGCCGATAGTCGATTCCAGGCCGTCCCGGTTACTGCTTATTTGCGCGTTGAAATCTCCGCCCACGATCAGCAAATCATGACGCGGGGAGTTGTCAATGGCATCCTGGAGCATCGCATAGAAACCATCTTTGTCAGTATCGTCAGCCTCTTCTGTTGGAGCGTATACTTGAAGAATTGTGACTTTCACATGCCTAGCTTGGAAGCGAGCCAAGATTAGGTGGTCTGAAATGGGCTTCCAGGCCAGCAATGATGTTGTTGCACATCGCGAGAGGATAAAGCCCACGCCGCGTGCATGGTCTTGGGCATGGCCAGAGTAGAGCACCATCTTTCCATCACTAATCATCTTCCCGCTTCCTGCCCATCGCATTTCTGAGATGCCCAAGATGTCCATACGGTACGAGTCAAATTCATATAGAAGCTGGGCCAATTTACCTGTTTGGTACAGAGTCCGTACATTCCATATTCCATAACGAGTATTTTCTTTTGGGTCGAAAATTGGTCGACGCATCGGGCAGTGGA